TGCATGAATTATAAGTCTTGGACTAATGGAATGTTTTGTTCCAGGATGGATCTTTGAAAGCGTCTGTTCGAGCATTTGGGTTATGAAGAATCTGGTACAGCACTACACTAAGACCTAGTAAAAAACTTATTTTCATTTCTCACATTTCATGATTTCAGGCGATGGAACAGTCACATAGTACTGTCTCGTTACTCTTTTTGCAAAGCATGGCCAACGCAAAATTGCAAAAATTATGTGATTCCGGTTTCCTACGTAATGACAGCCGATGACTGATCGTCATACATATTTTTGTTGTAATTGTTGGTGTGTTGACTGAACAACCAACTAGATCAACAGATTCCACCCATCTTCTGGCCCTAGTTACTGATGTCGCAGTTGCCTGTTCTCTGGTTGTTCAAATATCACGTGGATAAAAAGTGCGTCAGCAACGGCCCTTTTTCTTCCTGTCACGTATGAGAGGGGCTCAGAGTGTTGTAACAACCTGGGGATAAGAAGATCAGCAAACCACTTGTTCGAGGCTTCAGTGATATGTGGCTGTCGAAAGGGTTCATTGTACTCGATCCATTCCATACAGGTTCGAAACCTTAGCAGCTACTGAAGGGATTTTTCAGTTCCAGGAGTTTGCCTCCACCCACATCGGCTTCCCTCCATCAGGCACCCCTTTCACAGTTTTCCTTCCCTCTCTGTAATTTGTTCTGAAATTCCCCGTCGAGCGTGGGAGGGAGGGGAGGGGGGTAGAGGGGCACACCTCCCATCAACCAACAGAAGGAGTAGTTTTGCTGTGTCGCCGACTAAAGGGGACAGGAATAGCGCACTTGGCACGTGAGAATGAACAACGGTAGATATTTCTCTCGCACGTTGAAAAAACTGCTCTCAAGAGTGGAAGTGACCGCATGACTCCCCTCCCCTCCTCACCACCGAGTTGGACCTCCGATGGAGATCTCCCAGCTGTGCTTTACTCTGTATCATAAACTTACAGTATAATGTGCTTGAAAGTGCTATGGAACGCGTGACGATATGGTCAGTGGCGCTAAGGTCGCGTTCATGATTTGCGGCAGAGCCCACTAGCGAGCACTAGCGTTCCGAGGGTCCGGCAGCGTCAGCGACACGAAAAGTATGGACATGGATCTAGCAACCAGCAGCGACTGAAGGCTAGAGGAGTTTAGTTGTCGATGTCGCTACCAGCAGTGTCTACCAGTGTCCACCAGCGTCCACATGCGACCATCAGCGTCCACTAGCGACCACCAGCGTCCGGAAGTGGAAAGTAGGGGGGATGGGAGGATAGCAGACAGCATGCGGCCTTCCTCGCCTCATACTCGTACCAGCACTCTGCTATCCTTCTATCCTCCCATATGCTATCCTTCTATCCTCCCATACTCTACCAGCTGTCTGCTATCCTTCTATCGCTCCATGTTCTCCACTCCTGGAAGCTGCTGGTCGCTAGATCGATACCTATATTTCCCTAGCCCTCGATACGCTGCTGGTCGCTGGTGGACGCTGTCTCATCGTATCTTGAGCAGCAGTACGTTCCCCGTAATCCACGATATGATACATTGCAATCCACCCATCACTTCACTGTTGGAATAGGAACCTCAATGCGAGTAACACGCTCAATAGCTACATACTTACGAGAGCCTTCAGAATTTCCCGCCAAGAGCTGGACTTAGCTTGTGTTAGCCCGTTCTTACATACTTGGTGCATCCTGAATACGCCCCTCCTGTTATATTATAGGCTTCACCTGGCACCTACAAGAGATTCTTCCAGGATTACTGAAATTCCGGACAGCAGACAGACGGCAGAGATGGTTTCGAATGCAAGCTGAATAGGATGAGGTGAACAGGTCAAACTACTCCTTTATCGTCGCAATGCGCCTTGAGCACTTCTATTTTCCATTATTCGGCTACATATAACGATATAGCCAAACTGAAGCTCCGGAGCAGTTCTACAGGACTCCATGAAAATCGCCAGCAGTACGCTTTTAACACATATTGGATGTCTTAATATCCATCAACGCCGACGGGGGTTCGATGGGCCAGCACAAGCCGTCCCCAAGACCTTAGTTGCCAAAGGCGGCGCGCTGCAAAACCTTCTTTTCTGCACTGAGCACGACAAGTAGGTCCCATACATCCAAAAATTCATGCATGGAGCCTGTATATACTCATTATATTTCCACCCGACCCACTCAATGATGACATCAATGTTTATCATTATTTTGCGTCCCAGTGCGGAGAGGGCCTAGACCGACAAAACGCCCGAGGCTCTACTTGCAGTCGATGCTTGATAGCGTGGGTCTCTTCCATATTCCGCTCGCCATGACATGATCCAACTTCCCGCCCGCCCGCGTGAACTGACTTTGTCTCCCTCCCGTTTTAGCGCATCTGATGATTTCATGGTGTATAATGCAGCGGACAACACTTGTCAAGTGAAAACACACAACGAACTATCTTTAAAACACAGAACACGCAAACACCTCTCATCACCAAATTATCATCTCATGCAGCCTCTGCAGGGACGTGTACTTTGGCGAAACTGTGCGACCACTTTGTTCCAGGGTGAAGGAACACCTAGAAGGTTCGAGGAAAACTCGAGCGCCTGCGGACCGCTGGGTGGTCACAGAAATGTTATGGCCATAATACGAGCTACGCACCGGCGAGTATTGCGAGTGAGTCACTGTGAGGATTTGAAGCGAAGCCCCAAAGTTTCAATGCGCGAATTTTGGAAATTTACTGTGCTTCCGTTGATCAGTAGCGAGTTGCTCGAGCAGACACCGAGTAACGCCTCCGTTGGCGCGGTCGTCCAGGTGTTCGTGTGATACCCCCTGGACAGTCGGTAATCGCTCTGATCCAGCGTTCACATTCGTAATGCGTGACGTGCCCCTCTCACTTGATCTTCGAAATCTTGGGGCCCAAATGTGTGCGCCGCGTCCGTTAATGCTGATCGCTGGCAGAGTGCAATACACCAAATTCCTCTCTCTCTTTTTGCGTGTAGCGGGAAACTACGAGCATGGATCCTCCGATGGCGCGTTGAACGACAACAAGCTCATCCTGCTTACGAGTATTCGAGACATAAGTTAAAGGCAGTTGGCACGATAAATCGCCATACAGATGGAGGATTTATACGACTGGCTTATCAGAATTCTGCGACCCTGGGCAGGCGCTGCATTGCGGTTCCCCTCCCCGAGGAAGGTGCCCTTACAAGGGCCCTATCAAGCCACAACTTTACGTCCCAAACACCCGCCGCGCCCGCCCACAAATGGACGACCGTTCCTGACGCTCGTATTCATTCATTTGCTGACGGCAACAAATTATGAAGCGAAGGGACTGGTATGAAGCGGCCGTGATGCTGCATGCATACATGGGTACACATATGCAGCCGTATCTTCGGTAGCGGTGATTGGCAAGATGCCGTACGGGAAACTCGTCCGAAATCGATTTTCAAGTCACTGAGAACGGAGGCTTTTTTCTTCGCCGGATTTTGACCGTTTCAACATTCTTTCGTGCCAACTGCCTTTAAAGCAGGAAGGACCGCGGAATCTAAGAGCTGGGCACGAAACTTGGTTCCCTCGGCTTCCTCGCCACTCCCTCGATGTTCTTGATTTTTGGATACGCGCCACAGCTCAGACTGGACAAGAAAGATGAATGCCTCACTATTACGATGATTCGCAACGCGCTTCCCTACCTACTGGCCGGCCCTCCATCGCCCATCGCCGCTGGGTCAAGAGCTACACAGGCTCAAGGCCACACCAGGGTGGTCAGTAGTGGTGGTCTGAAGCTCAGGCCTAGCACGCTCGCTAAGGATTTCGACTTGTGTTTTGTAATTCCGAGACCTCTCTGAACTCGTTTAGTGGTGGCTAAGCTAAACTAAGAATAGCCAAAATAAAACTGCGTCCTAACAGTAGTTCGAACATCCAAGAAGATCGCAAACACCTCATTTAATGAAAATAGAACTAGACATATTCGGGTTTCATGTGAAAGTCTTGAATGCTTCAAATGAGTCACGTTCCTTGACTTTCGATTTCCACAAGCATACCCGCCACCAATACAACAAATGAATGTTAATACGATGGAAAAAAATATCAAAATGAAAGGCAAATTAAGAAAAAAAAATCGGTACAGCGATTCACACAGTCAAGCCACAGGAGAAGAATATGTTCCACAGGACACGAACATTAACAAGAGGAGTTGGACAGCGAATAATACAAGATAAAAGAACAGACTGTGTGAGAAGTTTAGAAAAAACAATGCGTGGAATGCAATGTTGTGAAGAGCTACAAATCACTCATTTTTCTCCTCGTCCTTGTCGTTTACTTCTTCGTTCTGATCATCGTTAAGAACGTCATCCATGACGTCCATGAGAACCTTGAGACGATTTTTCGATTCTTCCAATTCTCCATATGATCTATCCAGTTCGAGCGACTTCTGGAAAACTCAGTAGCTGACGAAAGGTATTCGTACACTTATGTGTAATGGACTTGATGTGTGAGCTAACGTGTAGGAACTGCAAACCTATGAAAGAGAACACTTCTGAACTGAGAGGGTGAAATACGGCCCTGGCGATGCTGGTTAGTACACAAGCCAAAGTGTGAGATTTAGGTTCAAGCCCTGCCTGGGATCAACCTCAGTGTCTATAACCCTCTTGATGGGATTAAGTTGATCGGCTAATTTTCCAGAAAAAAGCCTTAACTCACATTAAAACTATTCTCTAATTCAATATCGATTTCCTTCTCTAGTCTCTCTGCCATACCACGCCAGTATGAAGATGTTGGTTCTTCGCATAACAGGTCCTTAAATAACAAGTTAAGGAGTTGGCTTTAAAAAGCATTGACTTGTTGCTATTGATTTGAAAGTAGTACCTCCTTAGTAATAGGAGGCGCTTCTTTAGTTGTCGTAACATCAGTCTGAGCGTGAGTGGCTTTGACCTAAACATTGTATCTCACAAACGTGTGCTGAACTGTGTTTTACTTTACTGTGCCGAGGTGGTTGCTGGGTGGAAGACTTTATTGGAGTGTGCCTGACATTACGACTGGATCATCGTCCTCAGAAACCTGAACATGGCTCAAGGTTCAGACATTGCACTCTTTGTACCGTCAAACTCCTCGACACCATAGCGGTTCTGACGAAATCTCAGGAGATCTACCGAAAAAGAATAATGGGAGAAACACCGATTCACCACCATAGGAGCGGAACGACGTAACTCGCTGTTAGTTGCACTTAGTAAGCGGGACATATTACGCTGTCCTTATACAGCAACTATAGCTGGGGATCATTCATTCCTCATTCTCATAGTTCATATCGATAGCTCGCAATGCGGCATAAATGGCAAGAGGTCATTTGTAATGGACAGACACTCATTTCGGTTGTTCATCCTAGGATTCCTTGCGGAGATCCAGAATGCCTCTAGCGCTTTTCTAGCCGAAATTTCAGTCTCGAATGCCAGAATTCTGTGCTTGACATCAAGCGCACTTCATAAATACTTGCTGTATGGGGTCAGCAAAATGTGTCTCACATACTAACTACAACTAACAGCAAGTGGCGTCGTTCCACTCCTGCGGGGTGGACTGGTAAGTTCGTTTCTCCGTTCGGGTTTCTTGGTAGTTTTCCTGAATTTCGTCAAAAACGCTTGGATGTCGAGGTGTTTGGCGGTATAGAGGGTGCAACATCTAAACCTTGAGCCATGATCAAGTCTCTAAGGATGAAGATCTACTCGAAAGACTGGCCAATTCCAATAAAATCGTCCACCTAACAAGCTCTTTGGCACAGTAAAAAAACTGCAAAGTTTACAATAACGCTGATTTCATGAAGTCGAAAGCTGGAGACTGCAATGGAACGGAGTTCGCAATCCGGAATGAACTGGCGGCAAGAGAACAGTTAAGGGAATCCGTAAATCGGTGGAGCCACCACTCACCAAACCTGATCTCACCTTCTGCCACTGACTCTCACGAATCGCATATTTTGCAGAATAGTGGATTATCCACATCGATATGCATATATTCCTGTACGTAATACCAAATCATAGATAACCCCAAATCGCGACATTTCCACGGTCGCGGATTCTTCCCGTCTAATGAATGTTCACCTTACCTTGGAGGGCGTTCAAAAAACTTGCTTCGGGCACTACCCACAACAAACTTCTCCACATGCATCAGAATTCTATTCGTCAATGGGAGAATGAGGTAGTCTTTATGAATAATGAATAACTTTCGAAGTTGCGCGAGGAACTAGGGATTCCGCAACGAAAAAAATGAAGATATGCATAAACGAGAGAAAACTTAGCACGCACTTCAACATTCGCCTGCGTTTCCTGGTTTTCTTTGCCTTCAACAATAACTGCAGGCGTCACTTTCCGCTTTATGTCGCCTTTTCCCTGAAATAAACATAGCGTACAGTATCTCGAGAGTGTATAAAAAACAGGAAGGCAAAAACGTACCGCCACAGGGGTGAGATTCTGAACCGCATTAGCCTTCTTTGCATTCAGAACTTTTATCGACGGACTATTAGTATTGGAACTCGTGAACTGTTTGAGTCCCACTCGTAAACTAGCCATTTCTTAAAACAGAATTAGGCACGTGACTTCTAACTGAGGTAAACATGCAAACTACCAAGTAGATGGTGAGTAAACAATAACAAGGAAGCAACGTTTTTACATACATACAGTTCAGGAATTGCAGCACATTATATTCTGCTTACCCGAAAACATAGAATATCTTAGCGAGAATACGAAATCAAAGGCAAAAGTGAAACCACTGTTACAACTCTACGAACGATATTTTCGCCAAGTTGGTTAGGTAAACCCAGCGATGAATCGAATAAAAAAATGGAAATTCTCACACTACGCAGTAGGGCCAGATAAGAATTCCTGACAGAAAATAAAAAGGAACATAGTTCGATATGGAGATCATGCAAAAGGAATTCTATTGAAGAAAACTAATTCGAAGGAACATTTGAGGAACAGGAAACTACCGTCGGTTGTGCTCTTCTTCTTCGGCGGTGTTTGAATCCTCTTCATCGTTCGTGTTTTCGAGAATTTCCTGTAACTGTCCATACAGTTCATCGTGCTTCTTGTCCAGTGCTTGCTTTTCGATGATGTTCTTTAACGTCAGCGACTCGATCTGCAAAGACGAATATGTTTCAATATTACTGCGCTCTATTATTTTTATTACTGCGCTTAGTTTAAAAGTGAAAAAATATGCTGCTTTCACGAGATTCAAATGCGTAGATACTAGTCGACTCAATGTGGCCTACGTTGGCTACCTGCACTTTCAGAAATTCGTTGAGAAGACATGCACAGAGAAGAGCAGTCCTCGCTACCCGTACGAATATAGAGAATGGGGAGTACAATGCAGTCGGTCGCTGAAGGGAAATGCGTGGCAGAATTTCCATTTCCGTGTCGACCGAAAGTAGCGTGTTCCAGTTGCAGCACTTTGAGAGGATCTACGGTCAAGGCGCGCCAGGATGACCCCCCCCCCGTCTTCCAGGATGGCATGTGCGGTCTATGAGTGCGGTACGTGAACGTCAGAATATTGGCTGCGTGTCGTCGGAATTTTATATTTTCTATTAGCTATGAACCATTCTTGGAGCAGTTAGGCTCGGTCGGAGCACCCAATAGTTTTCAGCAAAGATTGTATCTTGAAAGCCCGGTAAACTCCTGTAACCAAAGTACCAGTGAGCAATTTCTCAAGAATTCACAGGTCTTTCCCAAAGTGGGAGCTGTTTGTTAACACGAACTATCAAAAAGAACTAGCGAAATAGCGAAATGCCCCCCCCCCCCGCTAAACCAAACAGCACATAAACCTGCTCTTATATGAATAAGCAGAAATAATGCTCCTATGTTCTAGCCTTTGAGAGAAAAAAAAGCACTATTATTGCTGGGAATTAAAAAAACCTTTACCTCCCTAATCTCTTCCCGTATATTATCGAGCTCGCTTGCTCGTTGTGTTGCAACTGCACGCCAGAAGACCAGATCGGGACACTCTTTCGAATCCTCTTCTCCACCAAGAAGAAATCGAAACTTCGGTAGAAAGGGCCACATGATCGCATGAAATCTTAATATATTAATGAAAATTTCAAATCGGAACACTGTTGTTATTGTTGTAGACGTACATGAATAATCAGCTATCAGAAAGTCAAGAGAGGACAAAATGAGTGGAATTAAAAATTCCCAAATTTAGTTCTGCGCTTCTCGAGTAACACTTATTAATAGTCGCTTGAATACTTCACTACAGTGCCTAGGAATATTTCGGAAAATCAGAAATCAAAAACTTCGAATTTCCTGGTTTAAAAAAACAACATTCTTTTCCCAAAAGAATACCACCTACTCCTGATACAACTGCACTCCTTTTGAAAGTGCTTGCACTTAGTAGGCGCTCAAGCGCGCTCACCCGCAGCCGCTAAGTCCCAGTGTCCCAGTCAGTAACGGGGGCCCTGCGGTCCTCCTATGTGGCAGTTCTGACGCCCCCTAGGTTCTACAGCCCACCTGGCTGAGGCTGCTGAGGGTCCTCACGATGTTCGCTCTATTTTTTTCCATTTTTCTTTCCTGAAGATTGAAGTCTTGTAGATTCGTCATTGGAAACGATACCCACTGTATGCAATCGTCTGTCTTTGAGGTGAACAAGCAGGCTGCGTTCATACTTTGCGCCAGCGGACGCCAGCGTTTCGACATACGTCAGCGCCGGCCACTAGGAAAGTATAGGTATCGATCTAGCGTACGCCAGCGTACAGCAACGTTTTGAGGGATGAGGAAAGTGTGAATATCGGTGGCGCTTTCAGCGTACGCCTGCGTTTGAGCGTTTTCGCGGGCAGTTTTGAGCTTGTGCAAAACTGCGGCGGAAATGCCTCGAAGCGCTGGCGTACGCTAATGCAAAGTATGAACGCAGTCTCAAAGAGAATAGGACCTGTTGTCAGGAACCTGGACCAGACTGAATCATTCTCAGGGCTCTATTCATTACTTTTGGGAATGCTTAAAGTCAGAGCCTGTGGTTGCCCTTGAGGTGGGGAAAGCACACGGGTCCAGTTACGACGAATATTGGGGTGCTGACTAACTTACCAGTGAAAGACGCAACAAAAACGCAAAGTAAATGACCCCTGTTGGTTTTGAGCATTACAAAAGCATACGGCGAAGTTACGGTGATCATAAAAAAGGGAAACAAAAGGTGGTATGACGGCGGAGTAAAGGTCTCGTTTTCACGTACCATATATTTGGGCTTCTACGCTTTATACTTCAGAATATCTCTTCAGAAGGCTACTGTTAGTGGAGAGGACAAATTTCCAGGAAATGGAATATTTCTTGAAGTACCATGAAGCTGTGTAAGGTGGAGAATGTTCCCTGGACTGCCTTTTTTATGAGGGAGTTCTATTTCGGAAGCTGAATCCACAGCATATGATGGCGGGAATGATTGAGTGAATGAATCCTCAAAATATCACAGGAAGTATAAACGAAACGGCACTTATCATCAATAACAAGAAGCAAAAAGAAATTGAAACCATACTCACACAAAACCAATACAACAAACCTCCGTTTGCACTTCGATGTGACGCCAAGTCGGTTTCTCGTGGCTTTCGCAGGTGACGTCTTCAAATATAGAAAAGGAGCTCGTTTCCGTTTCAGACAACTCCCTTGCAATCCGCAACATTCCACACTGGCTGAGAATCCTTTTTCCCCATTGCGGCGCATCTCCAAGTTTCAAATGCTCGCAGCTCGCGCCACTGCACATGGTCGCATTGGAGCGCAGTAACCGACAAATGACAATTCGGTCACTAAGATTGAATACACTTTCCGCGATCAACAAGTATCGATGCCTTCGTGCATTCTATATCATGGCCGACATCCACAGAAGATGTATATAGCATTTCGTCACACAAAACGGCAAAATAAAGTGGCGGGAGACATGTGATTATTGCAACCACGATTAGGAACTGCGTGAGTACATAGCATTGCCTGGAGTGTTGCAGGCGATTCACTATGCTCGTCTATGGGAGCCAAGCTTGTCGACTCTTTTGCGAGCTTACGAGCTGTTCTGCTTTACGTGGATACGTTTTTCCAAAACAATATGTCAGCAGCAACCCCATTTCGCATGGCAGTCGGAACCGCCTCTCAAGTTCTTCAACAGCGATGCAGTCGATTCGGTGCAAAAACTCGTCCTGCATTACGTCCTGCATGCTCACCGCAGTCCCAATTTCATGGACAGGGTTCTTGAAAACCATTTTCCATTTTATTACTTCTGTTTTCGTTTCTTTTTTCTTAATTTCAGATGGCATTAATGGTAAAGGATGCAAAGAAACTATTTATCGACTGATTGCACAGAGGCCGGAGGTGTTGAGTCGCCTGCAAGTCCGGAGAACTCGTACAATGAGGCTGTGGGACTGTCATCGAGATGTTTCGTTTGAGGTGTTCTCCATGTATTTTCTGCTTCGTCCTCTACCAAAAGTCACTTATCGGCCGCTCGTTCATAGCTGAACGTTTCACCCTGTTTCACCAATCGTAGTACTTGATCGCCAGAATTGTCATTGGATTGAAACTAACTGCTGACAGGTTCAAGCCTTTCTCTGCATAACAAGATGGTGTAGAGGGTGCAGGCGAACGAATGCTAGATTCAGACATGACGAGAGAACTTATTCGGTGGAAGCTTGGGAGGACTCCCTGTGCAAAAGTGGGATTGCCGTGGTGCGGAACCTCCTTTTTCTGCACGAATTGGTTCATCTACCCCGGAGCTCCATCCAGGATCAACCATCAAGTTGCAGAAAATGAGGGGGGAGGGATTGGTACCCCCTAGTGACTGTGGAGTGTGTGGAAATTTGCTCTATTCATCAGGATGTAACTGTATCTGTTGTATGATTCGTTAATACTGCTGTGCCTCTCGAGGTTTTCAGGTGGAATATTTATTTAGCGGCCTAACGTTTCGACGTGGTCGTCTTCTTCAGAGGCCAGGGTTCCACCGCAAATCCGCCGTCACATGCGGATGTTAGTCAGTAGCGAAGATCGTAGACCGCGGGGGAAAGTGGTAGTTTTTGCTTCTGAGGGAAATTTGCTGCGTTGGGATAATTTGTCCCGGTTTTTGACTTTTCGTGATTTTCTCTTTTCACATGTGCTATATACCCCTCCCTCCTCGCCGACAGGGAAATTTTGTGGAAAAGCTGAAAATTTTTCGGGAAATATCCGGAAAATGTGGTAGGAAGGTTGGAAAAGTTGGGGAGTTGGGTAGGATGGGGAAGGGTGTCGTACTAGATGACGAAATTCAAGAGGGTTCGTATTCCGATACTGTTCCCCAGCGGCAGGACTCGGCCTGATACGAAATACAGCATAGCTTTCATCAGGCTTGCGCGATGGCTTTTGACGAGGAAAAACGCGGAAACTTCCTGGCGAACGCGAGTGGAACAAAATTTGCCTTGTTTTCTGTTCCGGCGACGAGCGAGACCCTAACATGACAGTCGAGGCTCTGGCCTTTGCACCAATTTTCGAAATGGGCGAGGCTCCTACGGAGCGGGCGGAAAATCTTACGGTGGGTGGGGCTCCTACGGAGTGGGCAGAAAATCTCATCTCATGGTGGCCTGTCTGGGCTACCCGGACCGGAATTTTAAGAAAGGATTGAAATTTTGCAAAGGGAAGCAAAGGGCGTGGTTCGAGGGGCGGAGCTTTGTTAAAGCATAAGTGCGCGTGCGAGGAGGAAAAAAAAGTCTGCAACGATTTATTCGAGAAGTTTTGAAGAAGCCTCAAGAAGTGTACTTCAGAGTTCCTCGTTTCGAAACCTCAGCACTGTTTGTATCCTTCTAGCTGTTCAAAATTCCCAAAATCCTGGAAGCTATCAAAGCTCAAAAGGCTCACTCGAACATTCCTTCGTTTACAGCGCTTTTGACGGTTATTTTGTGACGCACGAATGAACCCAGAACTTAAAAGATAAGCTCATCATAAGTTCCATCACTAGACTATAGCGAAGCGCTAGATAAGAAAGAGTAGCGCTCCCAAGATGATGGCATCGGAAAAAAATTTTGGCCCTTGAGGGAATGACAGAAGTTGAAGGGACCAGTGATTAGTTCCCAAATTCAGAACCGTTTTTCAGCGTTGGAAAAAGCAACATGATCTATATAACTAACATTATCTACATTTATTACTGTCTCTCGCCCTCTTCCACAACTGGTGGGGAGCGCCAAAGCCGCCTTCTTGGCACGCCTCAGCTTCCATGTTGAACAAGCATGTAGTTTCTACTCCGGAGAACGGGAAGGAAGCACAATAGCACGACGCGTCTCAGGATATTTGTATTATTTATTCAGGAAATACATTTAATCCATCACTAAAATGATTTTTATTAATAAACAATATATCGACATCATAATGAGTTATTACTCTATGAGCATATGAGATTTGCGAGAAATTAGAGAATCATAGGGTTATGTGGAGAATTATGCGAGAATTATGGCAAAGACGAGTTCAAGTAAGGAACACAAGAGATTTCAAAGTCAAAAAACAGTCGATGTCTGAACATCCTACAACAGCATACTGTAAACGACGGCAGTGAAGAGAACTCCAACTAGCGCGAAGAATCACTACCGTGAACCACAGAAAACAAATTTCCGGAGTGTTCTGCGGAAGGATCGCTTTTTCCTAGGGCATGGAAGCACAACCGATGTCGTTGATGAGGACTTCAGTGTTGAAGACTTCCTTGGGCGATATGCTTCCCGGAAGTGGTTTTGCACGGGTTGTTCGATAGCAGTACCCAAATTATCGTATCCGCAAGAGGTGCTACTCCGTCGGCATGGAATCCACTTTCGTAATGAGGCGAACGATTTCCTTTTCACCGTTCTGGGAAGAACCGGCACTGAGACCACTGATGCGTTTTCCTGAAAATAGTCAATTTAAGAGTGGATTATCGAAGACCTTTGGCACGCTCGGTTACGTGAGGGTGGGGGGGGAGGGAGAGTGTCACCCTGGTTCGCTACTTTTTCCAGTATCTTTACCTTGGTAATACCTGTGAAGCTGTGAAATGGAGCAGGCTTCGCCGGGCACACAAATAAGTTATTGTGGACCTACTAAATGGTTATCAGCTTCATCATGTCTACATATAGCCATATTTATATGTATATATGGCTCATTAACAATTATGAGCAGTTATAAGTTCACAGTTCCAAGGTAACTGCACAAACTGAGCTGATAGCCATTTCACAGCTTCACAGAAGTTTCATGAGTCTCACGTCAATAAGAATTAGTAGAACGCCATGCCCCCTTCAGCGGGACAGCGTCAAGATTTTCCTTGCTTATACTAATAACTGGGATATGAGCTCGTCCAACCACTTCCTGCCTGGATTGAAAAAGGCTAGCTAGAGGCGGTAAATCATTCAGTTGAGAAGTACCTCCTACCTGGGCGCTACCCAGTATTTTCTCGCAGGCCAATTGGGCATACTGCAGCACTTTCACGTCAAAGTGTCAGCTCAGGCTATGAAGAGAATGCGGCGACGGCTGCGTTTAGACTTCTTGATGAGGCGCGTCAACGTATGTGAGCGCGTTGGCGCGCGTCATCACGAAGTCTGTAAATAAGAACGCAGCGGAGCGGCGGCAACCGATGGTGTTCTGGGAAAGTACAGGTGTATAGGAAGGGTGCCACACAGTATGATTAGGCGTCATAAAATCGAAAGGATCTGCAGTATGGTCGCCAAGTAACAACGTTGCTGTTTTTTAATGCCTAATCACACTGTCTGGTACCCTCATATTCACCTAGACCCTCCCAAAACAATGACGACCGACGCCGATCCGTACCCGACTACGGCTGCATTCCCTCTACAGATGCGTCGCCATCAAGAAGTCGAACACCGTCGGACGTGACGCCACCCGCAGCGCTGCCTACAGCGCCGCTCGTCGCTGCAACCTGGGTTTCTCAACCGAGCACCTTGCCCTGGCCAACCGCTCTTTTCATCCCTTCATGGTTATTTGGTTACAGGCTCCGTTTTTCCGAAGCAATCAGCGATACCAATGAAAGCTGGAGAACGGAAAAGAGAGATGGCCAGCTTTCAACTGCCCTCACCAAGTTTGAGTCATATGTGCGGCGCATTTAAAGGGGATGAAACTCACTGCCTAACGAAGGCAGTACTAGGCGTGAGTAAATTGTGATCGTAACGCGATTATGCACTACCTTTGCTTGCGAAATGTTCCGACGCTGTTCAGCGCATATGTAAGAGGAAAAACTTATTTGACGTCAGCAATTGACGCTAGTATCGATCATGTAGTTATTATTCGTGGTGATCGCGAGCGACAAACACGTGACTCAGCACCGGCATCCTAAAGATAAGGGTAGCGTGGGTTCTGTCAGGCACTCCGTCGCCCAAATGGCTTATTGCACGCGCCACTTCGTCACTCCCCTGATTTCCCGGAAATAGGAGGAACGTGATTCCAAGAGAGTGTGTTTATTACTCTTGAGACACTTTGCTTATTAGTCCTGTTTCGCGGCGGCATCGTGTGGGTTTGGGCGGACGTTCACCGGGTTGGATGCGGTAAGCGACCAACGACAAGGACTACTGAGAAACGGCTGGTGTATACGATATAAAGTAGTGCCAAAAGAAAGGAAAGGAACTGGCGGCGCGCCAAATCCTCTCTTGAGATGCCCCCTCTTCCGCAGCGAACAAAACTGTAAGTCATATACAAGTAAGAACTTAACTTTATGTGTCACTTCAAAGGCTGTAGTATTC